GGGCGTTTTGGTACTTTAATAGAATTTTATAAAAATACGTAATCTATAAACGTTTTTGTATGTGCCCTACTCATCCATGTCTGATTAGTACAATATTAAAATGTTTATAAGGATTGTCAAGAACAACATCTTTAAAAGAACTTGAATTATCCAAAAAATCATGACATTAAAATTGTGTTTCCTTTCTGATCTTCAAAAGACCTCAACATTGACTGCAAGCTTCATAGATGCCAATGATTTTTGTGACATTAGCGATTTCCAAACAAAAGCATATTTAATAGTTTCTTTTCTTTTTTCCCTAATTTGACAACTTTCACAATGTTTGGAAAAATTACACGTCAACACATTTATCATCTATTACTGCTGCAACAATTCGATTAAGGGATGCTGTGCCTGTGCTATTGCTAAGTATCGTCAATTCTTACTCGCCTATGCGTTTATGGTTCTCCTGGTACCCTATTTACCAATTAGCAACATTATACCGGTCCTGTAATGGCCTAGCGCAGGCTGCGGAGCTGACCCGCATCCGGCTGACAAGCTCTAGGCCGGCGTCGATTTGCTCACTGGCTTTGTCACGGTCCAGCACTGGCCTGTCAGTGCAGTTGCATGCTGGAATTTCAGTAGTCCGCTACTGGCAAGCCAACGATGGCATATCATCGGCCCGTAAATGGCGAACCCGCACTGGTTAAACGCAGGTCCATAAATGGCTCACCGGAGCAGGTTTTAACGATTCACCGAATGAGCTTTAGGAAAAACCAAAAGAGCTTTGATATACATGATTTTAAAATCACACAACAAACCACTTATACGTTTACAACTTGTAAAATAACATAACCAGATTTAAGAAAATAGATTCTATAGTATGGACAATATTAATACACGGAAAAAAAAAACAATATTATGAATATAAGAAACAACTTATACAACGTTTTTGAAGAAACTTTAAGGTAACAGCATTAAACATAACCAATTTTGAGAGTTGTCCAAGTCCATAAGTAGCAAATGATGCAATAAAACTGCTTACCTCAAATTGATCCGAAACTCTCGGATCCAAACGTTTTTGACACATGATGTTTTTGATTTATCAAAATTTTAGAGAAGTTTATTATGCCATCGTCTTTTATCCCACCTTGTGACCAAGTATCCTCTCTTCATATACCTTTTATCTTCTTTAAGAATATATTTTATCCATTTTAAATTTATTACTTCTACATGTTATCCCTTTTATATAGAGATAATTATAAAGTTATACAAATATAAAAAAAGAATATTCAAGCCTTCTCTATTTTCTCTCTCTTCTAAAATATAAACTACTTTATAATTTCTGAATTAAGATTAATTTTTTTAATGAAACAATACAATAAGTAAACTTTTAAACGTAAAAGATGAAACTTACTAATTTTGATGCAATCACTCTAAGAAATGAATGTGAAAAGACCGCATGGCAGGTTTCATTAGTTTAAGAGTACAGTTGCCGCAAATATCATAATACAACATTTGGATAGTTTTTAAATGTTTTAATAAATTTATAAGTTAAATGTTTTAGTATCTCAGTTGTGACACAAAATTAACAACCGTTGTTTAGTTATTTTAGTTTTTTTTTAAACTCCAAAAAATTTATAAAACTTTAAAAAAATCCAAAAAAAAGTTGAAGTGAATAACATAATTGTGCAACATTTAACTTCCTTAACTCCTCAATTATTTTGTATCTAAAAGTTTTCTAAAAATAGATTCTAAAAAATTAAAAAAAGTTGCCCTAGTAGGACTCGAACCACGGCGTTTTTGTTCAGAAGCTCAGCGCGCAAACCACTCAGCTATGTCTGCACGTTGACTACCGAAATTTAAAAATTATTTAAGAAAATTTTAAGGAAATAAATGATATATATAAAAAACGTTGACGCAATGCAGTTTTAAAGTCAAACTCAAACTTGATTTATGTCTAAGTTATGTTTTAACATTTATAATATGAAGTTTACGTACGTACGTTATAAGTTTCACGTACATATGTATATATATATATATATATATATATATATATATATATATATATATATATATATATATATATATATATATATATATATATATATATATATATATATATATAGACACACATTCACATATAAATTTACGTATATATACACATATATAACTAAAAAAGTTTACAAATAAATATAATGGTGAAACAAAGAGAAATTAAATAAAAATTAAGGACGCGGAAACTCAAGGAAGACTTAGAAGTACGCTAATGTTAAACGCGTCAATAAATGTAAACTCATACAAATACTTTCCGGCTAAAAAAAATTGTATTTGAAGTTTTCTTTAAATTAATTTGAAATATGGTATGCTTCACTAAAATCATTCGTTGATTTTTTTAAATTTTTGTTTGGAATTTTTTTTTTTTTTTTTTTTTTTTTTCAAGTATATCATTATTGTCTTTGTCGCATGTTTATTAGTTTATCACAGTTGTCTTCAAGAAGGTTTATATTTAGAAAGACTTTTTTTGTCATATGATGAATTTTTTCAACTTAGTATTTTGTAAAAGTTCTTCTTCGACCAACGTGTAGCAACTTTAAAAAATTTCAGCCTTTTTTTGGCAAGTAGAATAATATTAAAGGTCATACTAGTCACTAAAGGTCATACTAGTCACTAACGTGTATGTATGTCCGTGTAAGTATGTACATACATAACATCATATGTGTATATACACAAGTTAACATAGACATATACCAATAAAACACATGAATACATATAACATACATACTCACACTTATACATTCATTCATACATACATACATACATACATACATACATACATACATACATACATACATACATACATACATACATACATAGGAACTAATACCGACTTATCGGCTCTGAAAATCTGTCTTCCTGAAACACCGTTTTATTGAACCAGGCATAATTTCAATAAAATTTAATTATTTAAACTTTTTATAGGCTAATATGATAAAGTAAACTTTGTTTATGAATTTGTTTTGTGTTTTTATAGTTAACTTCTTGCTGGCCGATTTAATTCTTCTCAGGCCGATATTACCGTTCCAAGAAACTACGTCAGGTTTTCAAAAATTGGTATTTACTGACTCAGTAATACTAAAGGTTAAAAAAGAATTTAAAATAAGAAAAGTTTCTTAACAGTCATTGAAAATGATTTTATGATTTATCATATTTTTTGTTTATTATTATTTTAATGTATGTTTTTATTATTTATCTTTATAGACGGTTTACATTGTTTACATTCTAAAGCGCGTGCGCTAAAAACGACAGGCAAAACATTTGATCTAAAGCAAAGTAAGCAAAAATTATGGTGTGAAGTTTGTGCAAGTAAACTATGTAAATACCAAAAGTCTCACGAAGCGAAACCAACAAATTATGTCAAAATTTGTTAACCAGTACCAAAAAATACTTATTATCTCCTCAATATGAAGATGGACAGCCAAAGCGATTTATTCGGCAGTTGACTTCTTTTTTTGTGATAAACAATATTACTTCTGATCGACATGTAGCGTACTTGCTTTCTACTCTGCCGTCGAAGATTTACACGACCATGGAGTACACCACCAAACAAACGGTTGCTTGGTGGATGCATTGGTGTTATGTGTGAGTGAAGTAATAAACAAGTAAACATAATTATGGGTATGGACCCATCAAAGTCGTGTGATGGACTGAAAATTTTCACTATAAAATTGAAATTCTGTAATTCTCTAATTAAATTATTATTGACATCTCGTGTTGCGACAATTGGGAGCAAGAAAGCTTATTTTAATGGCAAAATTTGGATTGTAAGTTGGGAGTGGGAGACGGAACCTAAAATGAAAAACAGAACAAGTAAGTACAACGTATCCAACCAACATCGCGGGGCGTTCGACAACGAAATTAATGACTGGATCAGAAGAAGGCATACTTATCAAATATGACGATATTTTATGGGAAAAGCTTAAGGATTACTACCGTTGATGTGCGTCATTCAAGATAATAAAAAGAAGATAAGACCGGTGTTTGATTATCGCGAATTTAACACCTATGTAAAAGCCTCTACAAAGGATGCGGATGTCATCAACAATATAATGAGGGACTGGAGACTCATGAGTAAAAACAACAACGACTCGGTGGTGGATCTAAAAAGTGCATTCCTACAAATTCATGTGCTTAAACGACATTGGCCTTACCAAACTGTAATTTACAAGGATCACCGATATGCGCCTACATGTTTGACACAAACTCTTCTATTATTTGATCTTCATTGATAAGGATGTTGCGATGGATGGATAACAGAGCTAAACCACTCAGTCTGCTCTGGGTTAGTGTTGTCACGGTACCAAAATTTCAGTATTCGGTACCGATACCAGTCAAAATCCACGGTTCTCGGTACCAATTTTAATACCAAACCAAAGATTAAATTAAAAAATTCACAATTCTTTGTTTCAAAGCAAAACACTAAAACATGCTAGCTGAAAAACACGCTATTTTTATTAATAAAGATAAACAATGCCATTCTTCATACTTGTTTAAAATTGTGTTTCAACTTTTTCCACAAATAATAAATGAAAAATTACAAACCTAAAAAACGCAATTTTTATAAATTAAACAAAATATGCCATGACCAACAAGTAATAAACTAAAATATTATTATAAATGTAAAAAACAATGGCACAATTTAAGTATTTCAAGCCAAGGATTGTAAACATTTAAGTAATTAAATAACTAGATAACTTACAAAATAATAAGCCATGACTGAATAATCACTCTTATTTATAAACTTTAACATTTTTATAAATTAAACAAAATATGCCATAACTGAACAACAAGTTGTAAATTAAAATATATTATACATGTAAAAAAACAAAACAACAACGGCATAATTTAAGTATTTCAAGCCAAGGATTGTAAACATTTGAGTAGTTAAATAACAAGATAAATAACAACATTTTTTTTAAACAAGTTTCACCCAAATCAATACTGGTCTACACAGTTATTCTTTAAGTTACTTTCTTTGCAATTTCCAGATTTTCCGATAGAAACACTAACATATCCACATGTTCCTGACTCAGTCTTGAGCGTCTTGGGCTAACAATGTACCCTGCAGTACTAAACACTCTTTCAGATGAACAGCTAGATGCAGCAATGCAAAGGTACTTCCTGGCAAACTCTGATAGTTGAGGTAGAGTACCCATATTTGTTTTCCACCAGATAAGTGGATCATCCTCAGGACTGACCTCAGGCATCTGATCGTACACCAAGAATTCACCATTTATCTCGTCACTTGCAGAAAGAGGTGCTTGACTTGAGGATGCTGGCTCTCCTTTTTCTTTCTTTTTCCCTTGAATGGTGGAAAGCAGAAACTTTAGGTGATTTTTGGATTTTTTTGATGGCCTGACTTCTTTACTTGACAATCCTCCAGACACCTGAGATGCAATTCCTTCTTTTTCATTGCCCATTTTTTCACCTCATCCAGGAGACTTTGCTTCACATCATCCTTTAGAGAGACAAAGCTGTTCTTAAATCGTGGATCAAGGTAGGTTGCAGTGTTCAAAAGAAACCGAAGCTGAAGGTCATCATAGCGATGCTGAAGATACTCGTGTATCTTTTCCTTCATCTCTTTGGCTAATGCAGAGTCACTTTGTTCATGACTGAGACACTCAAATATCTTCCAGAGTAACGGCAAGACTGAAGACAGGGTGGTATGTTCTTCCCCGCTAAGTGCATCAGTAAAAGGACTGAATGGCTCAAGAACTGCTTTAACAGTTTCTAAAACTGTAATATCTGAGTCTTTTGGCATCAGATGCCATTTTTTCCTGTCCTCAGCCAGGACAGCACAGACAACCTGCTGCTGCTCCAAGAAACGTTCCACCATATCGTATGAAGAATTCCAGCGAGTGGGTTCATCATAAATGTTTGTGGTCTGGAGAGGACAGATCTTTCTGTTTCTTGGTCAGCTGGCGTGAAAGTTTTGGGGATCTTGTAAAGGCAGAAATAGGCAGACACCCTGTTTATGTCTAATGTCTTATTTACAGCAAGGTGGAAATTGTGTCCAAAACAAGGTATGCAGGTGTAGTCCTCAAAGGCTTTTTTGTTATTTGGGGCACTGTCTGTTGTGATGCCTGACATTCTTGCAATATCCAACTTCCAGTCTTCAAGTTTTTCATCAAAGGCCTCCTTCAAACTTCAAACTGTGTTGAGACCACAACAGCCAAGACGCCAGGATTGCAATTCCCATGATTTAGTAATGTACTGCAGAGTTAAAGACATGAAAGTGTCTGCAGTTTTACTTGTCCAAAGATCTGTTGTGTAGCTGTAAAATGATTTGTCACTGAGATGCTGGATTATGAGGTCTCTGGTGTCATTGTACATGCGGGGAATCTCAGTGTACATAAAAAAGTTTCTACTTGGAAGCTGGTATTTTGGTTGAAATGATGAAGCATTTGTTGGAATCCACATTTTTGAACTGTATAAATGGGCACTTTATCAATACATATGAATTCAGCAACAGCTAGGTTCAGCTTTCTTGCCTCAGGTGAGTTTTTGTCATATTTTTGTTGCCTTCTTCATCACTTATACAAGAGATGACTGAGGGAACTAATTCCAATGCTGTGTATAGTTTTAAATGGGAATGTGCAAAGCGAGTGTCCATTTGAACTCCAAATTTCTCAAGAAAAGGAATTGTTAAGCACCACTGTTAAAAAGTAAGGGCTTACTATAATGTAAGTACTATTACTATAAGTAAAGTTAATCAGTCTCCCCAGATGATTTGTTTTTTCGAGGGTTTTGGTGCCCAACTCTGCAATATCCTTTGCCTCATTAAACTAGTGGAGGTGTTTTGTTTCAACATTTGTTCTCAAGTCAGTCACCTGCTTCTTCACCACTGTCACCATAGAAATACCGCTTAAAACATCAACCTCGATACCTTGCCTTTGTAATTTGGTGAAAAGCAGCCATACAAGCCTGGACCACTGTCAAAGAAATAATGAATTCGAAACTCGTTAGAAGCACTCTGCATCTGTCAAACTGTCTCTTGAACATTCCGCGGAATTTTTTTAATATTGGAAAAGCATTGTACAATGGCAGGCAGTAAGTATAAACGATGTGCTGCGCAGTAAGTATAAATGGCTGTTGGATACTGTTAAGTAATGAGGGCTGCTGCTCCGAGGCACTTGTCAAACTTAGAGCACAAGGTTTCTAACATTGCCATACTTAGTGCACTAGGTTACTAACATATTTAAATCCAGACCAAGTGCTTTCAATGCCGTCAGAATTTATTTGGCGAGGGCTGCTCCAGTACATCCATCAGCACATTCAATGAATGTGCGGAACTGCTCCTGAATTTCGATCTTGCCAACATCCCAATAACGAACACATACTGACCGCCGCTTCATAATAGCTACATCCGTAACACCCTATTAAAAATTTTTTATATTATTGGATTGGATTAATTTGTGATTGTAGTTTATTTTCCATTAAAAAGGAAAACTTTGCAGTATTTTAAATAATATTACATACGGGTGTCTTTTTGTTAACGCAATACAAACAATGGAATAATTTAATTGGCTATGTATACAGTATACTTGTGTAATTTTTAACTACTATTTAGGCTGAATAAAATATAGGGTTTGACTCCTAACATCAATTAATATAAATAGTTACATATTGTCCATGTTCAAGTTATTGACTACAATCGAACAATACTGGATACAGTTGTCTGGACGAGTTACTTAAGATGGTACATAGACAAATAAAGAAGTTTCTTTAAAGTAATACTTTCTTGATATCTTATGTTTCTAAATTGTTAATACACATTTAAAATGATATTAAAAAAAAATTAAATTATAATTAAGTACCTATTAGGACTAATTAAGGCTGATTTTAGCAAACAATTGAACTATATTTTGACAAAAATTACTAAAAAACGAAAAAGAGTTAGCATATGAAACTTTCACAAAGATAAGTCTATATGATACTTTATGTTCTAAAATTTAAAAAAAAAAGGTTCTTCAAAGATCTACTTCACACTACACCGCCGCATTTGTACACAATAAAAACGACGAAAAATTTCATTGACTAACATAACGTTAAAGTCTTTAAAATAATTTATTAAACGTTTTCTGAATTTCATCACATTCTACATTATCAAAGAACACTTGGTCCAAATTTGAAACAAAAAGCTCAAGAACTTATTTCATAATCCTTGCCTGAAGATCTAAAAACCTTAAGCGGAGAAAATCATTAAAGTCAAAAAATTCTAAAGTTAAAACTCCACTTCTCCATAAATTTCGCCTTTATTATCCTTGATTTTGTCTAAGGGCTACGGCTTTTAAGTAGGAATTTTTCGTGCGAAATTCGTCTCTCAAAGGAAGACTTTCGCAATAAGTTTTCGTGCAATTCCCAAAAGGGAATTGCTTATTCTGCAATTGCTGACTGCTATTCTAAACAAGCGTTATAATCGATTGTCTAAAAAGAATTGTTTTTGTAACAATCATTACGCAGAAAGTTTTATTGAAAGGTATTACAATAAATAGAATCTAAAGTGATTTTGAAACAAAATAAGTATCTTTAAGGGTCTCGAGACCCCTCTTCTTTCCCACATTCCCTCCCCCTCCCCCTATGCTTAAAAAAAAAAACACCAATTTATTTAAATGAGGTGTTATTTTATTATGTATATAACCAGCTAGTAAACCACATTAGATTATGGTCTGAACGACGTTGACCTAAAGTAGTATGCAAGAATAGTATTTTGTGTCCCGAAACAGATGCTTAGCGAAGTTATACAATGTTCAACTCGGCCCTTAGATACCTACTTAATGCTTGTCATACTGAATGGTCATACATAATGATATTCTGCGTTGTACTTCTGCTATAATGTTTTCTTTTACTAATATTAATTTTCTTTTACTATTTTTTATACTAATAGTTAAATTTCCTAATCTTCTTTCAGGCAACCAAAAACATTTACTTTCTCTACGCAAGGCAAATTTTAAATTTCGAAATTACTGCCCCATATCTTTTCTTCCATATCATGGCTGCCGAAAGAAAAGTTAACGAGGAACATTCCCGTGGCTAAAATGATATTTTTTTTAGATTTCATGATAAGGGTAAGTTGGCGAATTTCGGGCAGCATCGAATTTCGTGCAAACAGCCTTTTGCATCAAAGAAATCACACTTACGCTAATTTAATCAAAATGTTGTTTCACTTTTCTGTTAGTACGACCTTTCCGCATCAAGTTACTGCTAACCCCATGTTGGTAGTCCAAATATTTATATTAAAAAACTATTATAAGTTACGATACATCGGTTTTTCACAAAAAGTGAAAAAACGTAAATCTTTCTACACTTGACTATTACACTTAACTGTGCAAAAATGAAGCACGACATTTCTTTTAAAGAAGTACTAATCGTTCACCCAAGTTTAACAAATATTTTTGGAAACTTAAAAAAAAAAATTATAAATAAATAAATAATTTTTTGATGTAAAAAATTTCTGCACGAATTATTGAAAACATCATATTTTGTAAATTATGCCCGAAATTTAATTTACACAGTAAATTTCGTGCATTATTTTATTTTTACCTAACAATGATTTTGAATGCTTTTATATTTTTAACTATCTTTAAAAGCATTCTTAAGGATGCTAGTGACGTTTTTAAGACAAAACAAAAAAATTAATGCAGCAGCTGCGCATAGCTAGATTTCTTTTAACTAATGAATATTTGAATTCAAAGTTCAACTTTTTAAAAATATAGTATCATCATAGTAAAATATACAAGTTTTCAGATAGGTTAGTGTTGTTTAAAATATTAATTTACTTAATATTTTTTCAGAAGTCAACATATTTTTTTACTTAAAGGCCGCAAACCTGCTTTTAAAAAAGAGGACAAAAAAAGATTAAAAGACTTTTAGATTAAAACAGCCAAAATAGGATATAGTACTTGCCAAAACGATGTTCCAAGCATTGTAAAAAATTATTTTGACATTAAAGAAAAGCAACATATAACAGAGCATCGACTTCACGATAAAGTAAAAAGCGATATGATAGCTTATAGAAAGTTTGTAAATAATCTGCCGAGCAAGTTTTGGATCTACAGGTAAATAATTGCTACTCTATTTTATAATGTTTTGAATATATAATAAAACAATAACACAAAACTTTAGGTTTTGATTGACCTATGATTGTTTTGCTTAATCTGTGTTTAATTTGATAAACCTGTTTTTTTTTTACTTTATATTTGGTAGGTTTTTCGAAAGGCATTTAGATTTTGCAAGAAGAATGCCTGAAAATTTGGGCTACCATCGGCGAAACGTTTCTCATGCTAAAATCAGGCAATGGTTTACTGACCTGGAGAATTATTTATTTAAAGAACATCAAATAAACGCTTCAGAGTTCAGAGTAGAGTGTTTAATTTAGACGAAGCAGGGTTTCCATTAGCAGGGACATTGGGAAGCCTGAAAATAATTGCCTCAAAGGGTATAAAGAGTGTTTATCGCATAGCCCCTGACACAAAAACGCAAATAACAGTTCTTGGCTGTGTATCCGGAAATGGAGACTACCAAAAACCTCTATTTATATTTTCAGGAGCGCAGCCTCATTACAATTTAGACCATATTAATCCATCTGACTATGTTCTTCAATTTAGACCATGTAAATCCTTCTGACTAAGTTCAATTCTTAATTGCTTTTTGTTTTATTGATTTATAAAAATTTCTAAGTATTTTTTAGTATTCTTTAAAGCATTAACGAAAGATATATTTTTAGTGCCATTTCAGAATAATATTTGACAAATAATGTTTGGGATTCACCCAAACCGTTTTTGGTGTAGCTTATAAAACTCTATTAGGTTTTTTAATATCATCACTTGTTTTTAC